AAGATTTAAATCGCTAAGCTTCGGAAGGCCTTTATTAACCCACTGGAGTCATATGGTTTACTTTTATGATGAATCGATGTGCTTTTCAAAAACGCAGGCACTAGTCTGTGCCATTATAAAGCTTGGAAGAGCCAGGATATTGTTAATTATATCTTCGATTGTGTTTGGCTAAAAGAAAGGACCTTAGCAAAGGACCCCGGACCCCATACTCCCGGAGAACCCTCCACAGGACACAGTCGAATGCCTTCTCCAAATCCATAAAGCACATGTGGACTGGTTGGGCAAACTCCCATGAACCCTCCAGCAGCCTGTAGAGAGTATAGAGCTGGTCCAGTTTTCCATGGCCTGGACGAAAACCGCATTGTTCCTCCTGAATCCGAGGTTTCACCATGAGTAAATTTAATAAAGTAACTTTTGGGTGGGCTGAAAGGAATAAATCCTTCCAATAGGGCCTATCCTCCTAATTCCTAACGACCTTACTGCGTTTTGTTTCCGGTTTGGGGAACTTCCATTCAAAAAGGCTGAAACGAATAATTTCAAATCATAAGGTTGCCCTACAAATGAAGCTGATCTGTCAGTTTGACTGGATGAGCTGTCAATTGTCCTTCATGGTTTATTTTTAGACATCATGAGAAGAAAGTTATAGCATACTTGGTATTTTAACATGACACAGGAATGCGTCAAGATTCCAACATGAATATCTATGGCAAGAGCTCTTTTCAGTCGCTGCTTTCTTTTCCTCATCATTATTTTCTTTTTTCGCTTTGCACAAGTATGAAAAAGGACAACATATACACTGCACATCTGTGGTCTGTTTCCCAGAATTTAATTTACGATATTCCATTAATAATTCACTTGAATGCATGAAGAATTGTTTTCACAGGTAAATGTAATTTATAACCCGTCAAAATGATGGAAATCGCTTTGAAATAGTACTACGTAATGCTGAAGTTAATGAACATTTTTGATTAAAGGGGTCATATTGTCACAGTCTCGTCTGCACCATCCTGTCTGCGTCTCCAGCACTACACTTCCCATGATCCTCTCGTCTGCACACCTGAACTCACTCCCTCATCAACCTCCCGTTCAGCGTCCTGTTCATCTGTTACACCTGTTTTCCACCTCGTTATGTTTGATTCCTCTGTGTATTTAGGTCCCTCAGTTTCATTCTGTCTTTGTCAGTCAATGTCTAATGTTAGCCTGTGTTGCACCCGTGTTCCTGTCTTCCTTCCTTCCTTCCTGCCTGTCTGTTATATTAAAAGTAAGCTTTATTGCTACTCTGGAGTCCTCCGGTTCCTCAGCCTGCACCACACCCTGACACATACGTATAATGGTACATGCACTTTTACAAGTTGATTGTACTGAAATGTGTGTTGGCGGTTCCTGTACACAACCGTCATATAGATATACATTTTTATATAATCTTATGTTTTTCCCTGCCTCAAATCAAGACGTTCAACCGTGTGACGTCACTAAATCGGACGCCCCTCCCACAATTTTTAATTGACAGCAGCGTTTCAACACAGACCCGCCCTGAGCGAGCTGTCATCATAGCAGAATGGATTGTAGTGTTCTGTTCTTGGGTGTAATAACGAACACAGTCGTTTTCATTTTCATAAATCTGAAATGCTGAAGATGCAGTGGCTGAGTTTTGTTGAGAGGTTTTGTGCTCGTGAATGGCTGCACGTAAAGTCTGAGCTGAAGAAGAAGCCAGTGCCCATCATCGAAGCCCTGGAACACTATTTATTTTGGTTTTGAGTGGTTGTTGGTGAATCCAATTGTTTTTGTGTGCAGATTTCAGAGCCTAGGCTGCCTACAGTACAGAGACACGTTTTTTTGATGGTCTGCTTACGGGGCGGGCAGCTAGCGGATCGTTAGAAAAGATTAGATGAATGTGATTATTTATGGTTGGGCCTTTTTTGAGCTCTTTAAAGCAGGATTGATTCTGATTGGCTGTCGACGTTTATATCATTCATGAGCTAGAGAAAAATAATTCTGACAGTGATGCCAACGATATCGTTACTCTGTGTCGTTATAGTTGTGGTGTGGTGCTTGTGGACTATCGATTTTTAAAAGGAAACCTTTATCGTTGTAGTTATCATCCTTGGTGTGAGCGGGCCTTTAAGCTGAGGCAGACTATAAACTTGACATTTAGTAGAGAGAACAGTTCCAGCCTCTTTAACCCTTCGGTATTGTTGCTAGGCAACAACTGACAGATTACAGAGGGAATGTCCTGGAATGCTTCTGTGGAAAAGGGGAAGGATGTGGCGAATAGAATAGACTGTTTACATGTGAAGGGGAGATCCTGTAGCTTCAGTCTGGCCGCTGTAACTCGACCGTCCCTGCCTCCTCCTTTATGTAACTAAGCATGAATTCCAGTGGCTGGAATGTGCGTGTCAGTTAAGCTATTTACCATTTGTACATGTGGTTCCCACCTCCCATATTTACCTGGTCTGTCAAGTTCGGCCGGATATTCAGGAGGGAAAAATATACATTGTACAAGAAAAAGTCTTTTCTTTGAAACAAGTTTGCAGTTAAATCACAGATCGCAACAGTTGCCAACAGTTGTCAACCTCATAAATAATTTATCTAACGATGCATCTTTAATAGTCTGGTTAATAATGAATGCTAAATCCCAGTGATTAAAGTCTGAAGGCCTATAATGTTTTGTTGTTGTTTTGTGTTTCTATCTGTGTTTTTTATGGTTGTCAATCCAGATTTATTAGTCAAAAATTGCACAGATATTGCATATTTACAGAAAGTGATGCTTTAATTTAGGCTAGGTATTAGGAAAGATACACACTTTTATGTTCCTGAAATCGTAAAAAATATAGACTTCTAAAATTCTCTAAATATATTTCCTTTTTTTCATATAGTTTTTTGATGTTGAGGCGAAATATGACTGTTCTTAACATGATTGTCAGCCATCATACTGTACATATTCAAATTCATTTTAAAGTGTTTAAGACTTTACTGTAAGACTACTAGTACATGTAATCCAACATTGTGACTATTTTACTTTATTTGACTTGTTTTTTTAGTAAAAAAAAACAGTAATTTTACTTGAAACAACACCACATGAGATATTTAGACGTGTGTGGAGATAGTTTGAAAGTGTATTTGTACACTACTTTCGGATTGGTTTCATTTTCTTTAACTTGTTTATACTTGAAACAAATGAGGACAAAACTGTCATTGCATTAAGACAATACACATTTATTATTACACATGTTGCTTCTAAAGTACATTTATCTTGATTTAAACATTTTTTTTTAGATATTTTAACCAGACAAATAGGACAAAAATACTTGTTAAGACAGGGAATTTTGGAGTGCACAGTTTAATTTGTTCAGTGCTGAACTTCGGGGCTTAGCTGGCAGATCATTTAGTGGTTTATGATTATTGGCTTTACTTTCCACACTGTTAGACAGATTATAAAAAGAGCAGCTTTTGTTTGATCCCGTCCCATGTTTTAGGGGGACAGGCTGTTTTGATTATTTTGAGCTGGGCATTATCTAATAAAGCATTATGAACTGATTGAATTTTTTTTTAAATTCTGCTAGTGCCAGTGACTTGTCATATTTAGACAGATCAATACATGCATTCGTTATCGATGATGTGATTTACGGGACTTATCATTATGTGCATTTTTGGCTAATTTGATTTATTCTAAAACATTACCAAGACATCTTAAACAATGTCATATTTGTATTCAAAATGTCATTATTGAGCGAAAGTCACTTAATGACAGTTGTCATAAACATGCATAAACCCTACTTCATATTCAAGACATAAGTCATGTCATGGTTATGAAGGTGTCATGTTAGTCTTATGCAAAGTGTTACCAAAAAGTGATCTTATTTTGTGTGGGCCTACGTGAACTTGATGGGATCCCTAATGGTAATGGTTTGGGCTTTTCTAACATGTGATATGCATTCATAGTTTCACCTAATGCTAGTTTAACATTGCATGTAGAAATTTAGGTGTGAATGTCACCCTATTTGTTCCGATAACTGTGATGAGTATTAGCATTTGACATTATCCCACCTTGTTGCTCTTCTTGTTTGTATTGGAAAACAGAGAATTTGGGGTTTTGGTGATTTATTAATCATTTAGTACTGTAAGTATTAGACTTTCAGAGGCACATTCTGTTTCATAATAAAGCAGTATAGGCGAGAAGAGAAAGATTCTTGGCTAAACCAGCAAGACTCATGTGCATGATTATGCAATGTGTAATTACATATTGCAACTTGAATTTTTTTTGATGGAATGATAAGTGTCGTTTACAGTATATGCAAATACATGGTGTTATGAAGAAATACACATGATAATCTTCTCAAACTGCTCAGATTCTTGTCAGTGTTGTTATTGAAGTGAATTTTGGTTATGTTTATAGTTAATTGAAATGAAATATAATGTAAATATATGATGAAAAACTTAAACTAGAAAAGTGTTGTTGGCAACTAACTGAAATAAAATTAGCTGATGTAGCCTACTGAAATTAATTAAAACTTTTAAATATACAAATACAACTTAATTTAAAATGTATAGGTACTATATAAATAATACTAAAATAACACCTTTTAATGTCAATATCCAGAAGCACAAATGTCCTTCATCTCATCCACTAAAGATTTACCTCCTGAAGAATATCCGCTTTTGGAGATCTGATACCAAGAAGTATTTGGAAATATGTCTGAATGTTGCATCAAACCACAAAATATTGAACCACATGGCATCTGCAAACAAATAATGCCACAGCTTACTGACTGAGAACTAAAGGAGCATTTACTAACTACCAGAAAGTCTCCAAATAATATTTGTCTGTGTATCAACTATGTATCAATTAATCATTTACAAAAAAAAGAACTGTGCTTTCTTTCTGTGAAACTAAATGCCACTTGCTTTAGCATTTTGTTATTGAATACAATACAAAAAATGAATATGTTTTGGGGTTACTTGATGAAGTGTTCTCTCTCTCTCTCTCTCTCTCCCCCCAGTGTGTGGTTTCGTGGTCCACAAACGCTGCCATGAATTTGTTACTTTTTCCTGCCCAGGGGCCGACAAGGGCCCTGCATCAGATGTAAGTGAAGCCTTACTAGACAACAATTAAGCAACTCCCTCACCCACCCCCTTTCTATCCATCAGATCTCTTCTCTTGCGCCATGTTTTCTGATGAAAATACACTTCCTTTCAGTTGAAAGAAACTACATCCTGTGACTAAGCAGTACACACAAACACACACTCATTCACGTATACACACTGCTTGGTGAGAAGTTTAAATATTTATTAAGTGGTAACTGATTATGTACTGTTTAATGAAGCCTAACACCAATCATGTTCCTCATGTGTTTGCTTGCACTATATAATCACGTGCACAGAGGCAGAGACACCAGTTTTCTCTTCTCTAATCTCTATTTATAACCACGCTTCCTCCCTGTATGTGTAAAAGCAGGCGCACACATGCAACACATCCTGTGTTGTGCTTTGTTTCTACATTGCAGCCAATTATATTTGTTTTCCTTTGAATGATGGTGCACATGACAAGTGATGTTTATTGTGTAATGCTGTGGTGTAGAAAAGCTTTAAAACCTTGACCTTTACACCATTGACTACTGTACACAATCTTGAAGGATGTGTTGAATAGTTAGATCATTAACTTGCTTTTGTTTAATTGGTTAACTTGCACTTGCTGGAATCATTTCAACAAAAGAAAAGCAGCAATCAAAATTCTGCTTCTTCATATTGCTGCACTTTGTTATTTTATTATAGGAATATTTGCAGTATTTTATTTCTTGGATCTCTACATTGGCGCCCCCTAGCTGTAGAAATTTATATTGTTTCATATAGTCAGTGCCTCAACATCCACTGAATTGTTTTTGATTCCTTCTTGTATATCTCGCTTTGCTAAGCTCTGTCCATATTTTTGCAATTGTTTTTTTAAAATCGAAGTCCATAGTCGAGAGAAGACTTTATTGGAAAGTAATTACACCTGAAAACATTAGTGCAGGGCAGGAGCTAGTTATTTTTCATTTGGTTTAACTTGATGTAACAGTACTTGAAATAACTAAGTAACCCTGACTTAAAATATATTAAAATCTAGACATACTTAAAAAAAAATAACTAAGTAACTCTGACTTAAATATATTAAAAACTAGACATAAAAAATAACTAAGTAACCCTGACTTAAAATATATTAAAAACTAGACGTACTTAAAAAAATAACCAAGTAACCCTGACTTAAAATATATTAAAAACTAGACATATTTAAAAAATAACTAAGTAACCCTGACTTAAAATATATTAAAAAATAGACATACTTTAAAAATAACTAAGTAACCCTGACTTAAAATATATTAAAAACTAGACGTACTTAAAAAAATAAATAAATAAGTAACCCTGACTTAAAATATATTAAAAACTTGACATACTTAAAAAAATAACTAAGTAACCCTGACTTTAAATATATTAAAAACTAGACATACTTAAAAAAAACTAAATTAAAACCCAGCTTATTACTAAATCTCCAACCGTAATTAAAATATATAAATGAAAATGTATTTAAAATATCAATAAAAACTATAATATAATATCAATGTAATTAAAATAACACTGCATTATTGTAGGTGAACAAATTGTTTCTAATGTATTTGCTATAATGCGATGAATTTCAATAACTAACATTGATTACTCTGTAATTTAAATGAGCATTAACATTAGAGCAGCTGTAGCTGTTCCTTCTAATTTTCTACATGTTCAATTGGAAATGAATGTGTGTGTGTGTGTGTATTCTTATTTTAATTTAGTTATTTATTAATATAGCTAAATATCACAAAATATAGCTTTGCTTTGCTTCTGAATTATTGTATTGTGTGTTTGTGTCATAGGACCCTCGCAGTAAGCATAAATTCAAGGTACACACATACTCCAGCCCCACATTCTGTGACCACTGTGGATCGCTACTGTACGGGCTCATACACCAGGGGATGAAATGTGACAGTGAGTCTAAACCCACCCACACACACACACACTCTCACTGAACCAACAGTGTGTCACTGCACAATGAAACCCCTCATATGGTGACCCCTGCTGGTTGTGATGATGGATTATGATACACTACTTTGATCTACTCTGTTGGAAGAGATAGTGTTATTTTTATTTAAATATTTCGTTTTTTAATATTATGTGTTGTTCACATGTAAATACAGCTGTTTATTAAGTATATATTTATTTTTGCTTGTGTGGATATGATCTTTGTGACTGTGTGTGTGTGTGTGTCCTGGTGTCTGCTGTGTTTGTGTGGGCATTTCTTAGTATGTAGTGAGTTAGAAGTAATGAGTGAAAACCCACACTTGTAATGCTGTCAATCTAATTATGTGTGGTTTTCTGCAGCTTGTATGATGAATATTCATAAACGATGTGTGGAAAATGTTCCCAGTCTGTGTGGAACAGACCACACCGAGAGGAGAGGACGGCTGCATATCAGTGCTAGTATCACAAATTTTGTTCTCTCTGTGACCAGTAAGTTCTCTCTCTCTCTCTCACACACACACTCACAGTTTATATATATATATATATATATATATATATATATATGTTATTAATGTTATTAAAATCAGGTAATTTAGCAATTTACAGCACCCCCTGCAAAAACCCAGAACACTGTAACATCTATAAATTAGTAACCACATAGTAACCACTCAGAACACATTAGCAATCACATGGCAATGTCCTGGCAACCAGATCAGCCACATAGCAATGTCTTGGTTTGATGGTTTTAGCAGTTCAGGCTGGTCTATACAATATCATTCAAAAGTTTAATACTTAATTGATAGAATTTAATACTTAATCATCAAGGATTACATTTTTACATTTACCAAAAAGTGACAGTAAATACATTTATAATGTTACAAAAGATTTCCATTTCAAACAAATGCAGTTCTTTTGAACGTGATATTCATTACAGTATCCTGAATAAAATGTTTAAGGTTTCCACAAAATGTTAATGGGCGAAAGTTGTTTTCAACTATGATAATAGTAAGAAATGTTTCACCATATCAGCACATTAGAATGTCACTGAAGACTGGACTGAAGTAGCCTATAGGCTTTGCCATCATATCATTTGCCAAATATATTGAAATAGAAAAGTTATTTTAAATTGTAATGATTTTTCACAATTTTACTGTTTCGTTTTTATTGTATTTTTAGACTTATTTCAAAAAGCTTTAGCTGTTTTTTTAGAGGAGTTTTGTCCACAGATGCTCAGGCTAATCTAGCTGAACTCAAGTCTGTTCAGTTGAGGACCAGCTAAAACCAGTTTAAAGCACCTTTACCAGCAAAAATAACATATTTGGTTACTTATCTGATTGGTTGATCTAACCCTGCACACTACAATATAGGTTTTAGGTTGCACTTCCTGTGTTCGGATATTTGGTCCTGCATGGATAAAATGTATTGTTTTAGAGTTAACCCTTTACAATAAGGTCCCATTAGTTAATGCATTAACTAACAATGAGCAATACATTTGTCACAGTATTTGTCCATCTTTGTTAAAGAGGTCATGAACTGCATTGGTTTATTGTTTTAATGTTTCCTGGGTGCACTTATAATTTTAGTATGATTTTTTACATTAATTAAAAATGATTTAGAAATAAAAGATATTGTTTTACCCTGATTTTAGCCCTCTGATTTGAAGGGGAGTGTCTTCTGTGAGACTTCAGTGTTACTACCACCGCTGTGATTGGCAGACATCTTTGCATATGAAATAGACAAGTATTACATGCTTTTAGCACGTTTTTACTATTTTATTATAAGGTGGCGTGAAAGGTTGCACATTCCACAACAAGTAGTTATCTAGGCCTCGTTACAATAAAAGCTGCTTTTGGACTAACACGGACGTTTTCAGTTCGGAAACTTATAGGATATTCGTAAAGTGTGATGACCACTTATATGTCAAAAGCTCAAGGAAAATTGTAATTCATGACCCCTTTAACGTTATAAAAACACAACTGTTCATTGTTAGTTCATGTCAGCTTTTGATTTTAATGTATTGATAATGTAAATGTTGAAATTAACATGAGCTAAGATTAATAAATGCTTTAGAAGTATTTTTCATTGTTCATATAAACTAATGTAATTAGCAAGTGTTTACAAATGGAACCTTATTGTATAGTGTTACCGGTTTAGATGAGATAAAGGCAGCTAAAATATGTCATGTGCTTCTTTTTTTTAATTGGTCAGTTGCTTTTCCAAACAAATGCTCTGACGATAATTTACTAATCTTTATGGACTGAAGTTACTGAGGAAGGGCTTTGTTCAGAAACTAGAATGCCCACAGTTGTGCTGGTTTTGAATATGGAATGTAATAAGCAAATATGGTCAGTGCTGTTGTGGCTTATGTGATATATTAGCTGGGCAGAAAGCAAACTGCTTTACAAGCTCAAACTTTCAGCCAAGCATGCAAATCAGTAGAGCAAGAGAATGGAATGGAAATGTTGCAAAAATGGTGAAGTGTGAATGTTTTGCTAAAGATGATTTCTAGATTCTAGTTTAAAAAAACAAAAAAACTCTGCAACAAAGTGTTCTAAACGAGTCTGTGTTTTTCTCAGCTCTTTTTGCCTTGGGCAGAAACAGCTTCCTCTGGAAACATGAGATCAATCCGCCAACGATCGCCCCACATCCCATTCACAGCAGCTCACTCATCCATCAACTCTCTAGAGCTACATTTAGAGGGCTGTGTATATAGATAGCTGACGTTTCATACAATTTCCCTATTATTTATAGCATTCTTACAGATTCTTGAGAGCCAAAAGGTTGACATTGCTATAATATAATCCTAGCAACTAACTAGTACACCATGGCAACTGCCTGGCAGAGCCTGATCAAACAAAAAACCTTACCAATGCCTGAGCAAACACCAAAAAACATGAGCAATCACCCAGAAGCCTGGTATCAACCACACATAACACATTAAATGCCACCTAACAACACCCAGTACGACCTAAGTTACTGGACCTTATGGCAGGCAGTTATTAAACATAAACACAAAGTACTTAGGCAACTGTCAAAAACATGAGCAGAACGACTGGTTAAATGTGATGAGATTAGAATATAATAGGGCTTAAATACAAAAACAAACGAATCAAGAAAACAAATCTAATGCAGTTTACGAAGATAAAATAATGCTTTAAACCGTATTTACTTTAAGGCCCTTAATCCTGTAATTGTGGACAAATGTGGGCACAGGGGACTCCGGTGTGATCCTAATTTTTATTTATTATAAATGTCATATCACTGTCTTCGATAAAGTTTTGTCTATCCATTTATGGTGTTTCTTTTTATTTTGGGGGTATTTTTGAATTTATTTACTTCAAAAAGTACCATATTTTCTATGTATATTATGCTTATTTTTATGTTTTATTTTTTAACTACATTAAAATATCATTCCAATGAGTTCTTAGAGCTAAAAGCTAAAAATGAAGTGACTTTGCTGTCACCTATTGTCTTATTTTGGCTTATTTTAGAGTGCTCTAAACTACAGTTGTTCCCATTCATTTCTATGGGTGCCCATTTTTGACCCAAATACAAGATTAAGGAGGGTTTTTTTCACCCACGTAACATTGCAGAATTGAGTCAAAAGAAACTTAGGAAAAGTAGCCAAGTCTTGTACCGCTCAGATCAAGGGAAGTATTTTTTAAAAACAAATCAAAACTATGTTGCCCACATTTGTCCAGAATACGGTTTTAGGGTTAAAGTCCTGCATTCATTGGTTTTCACATTGTGTATTTTAATTTATAGTCAAGGAGGCTCGTAACTTGGTGCCAATGGATCCAAATGGACTATCAGATCCATACGTGAAGCTTAAATTAATTCCAGACCCAAAGAGCGAGAGCAAGCAGAAGACCAAAACCATCAAGTGCTCCCTCAATCCTACCTGGGATGAACATTTCAGCTTGTGAGTGAAAAATAAACCAATCTGCAATGCAGTTGTGTGGGTGTGGATGTTTTACATGTGTGCAATGTCTCTTTCCATCTTCATGCCACCATAGTAACCTCAAAGATACAGATAAAGACAGGCGTTTGTCAGTAGAGGTGTGGGATTGGGATCTGACCAGCAGAAATGACTTCATGGGGGCCATGTCTTTTGGCATCTCCGAGTTGCAGAAACAAGGCGTCAATGGATGGTAAGCACTACCGTGATGGGATACACCCCAGACCTCTGTGCTCGAGGTTTGAGAGCATCGTTTTGATCTGTTTGCGTTGTAGGTTTAAGTGTCTGGGCCAAGAGGAAGGGGAATATTTCAATGTTCCAGTTCCACCAGATGGAGAAGAGGGCAATGAAGAACTGAGGCAGAAATTTGAGGTGAAATCCCATTTTGTTGACATTTATTTTTTACATTTAGCTTTCCTCCCTTTCTGACAATATTCTGAATGTTTTTTTGTGTTTTTTCTTCTTCCAAAAACTCCAGAGAGCCAAGATCGGCCCTGGCACTAAGAATATAGATGGCTCTTCAAAGAACGATATCTCCAAATATGATGCCAATGGCAACCAAGACCGCATGAAGCTCACAGACTTCAACTTCATCATGGTGCTGGGCAAAGGCAGCTTTGGCAAGGTAGCACACACTATTGTGTATCTTTTTTTTTCAAGAAATGAATACTTTTAGTCAGCAAGGACATATTAAATTATTTAAAAGTTACAATACAGTCAATATTTCTGAAAGATCATGTGACTTAAGACTAGAGTAATGATGCTGAAAATTCAGCTTTACCATCAGAGGAATAAATCACATTTTTAAATATATTTAATTAGAAAACGCTTATTCTTATTTGTAATATTATTTTACAATATACTATAGAATATATATAAGAAGGACACTGTTAAATAAAGTGTTATCAAAAAATCTTACAAACCTTTGAATGGTAGTGTATGTTTAGTATTTATAAAATTATTTAAAAGTCTATTCTTTTTTAAGATAGAATAGTGAGAAAATAAGGGAAAACAACTATAAAAACACAACATTGTACCCCATACTCAGTAAATAATTTAAAGAGACCTTAACAGCAAATTTTTTTGTAAATGAAATATGGGACATTTAACAAAAACATGTAATTTATAGGCTTCATATTATGTAATTTAACCCTCATCATGCCAATTATACATAATTGCTTAATATTTAGACATTTATTTTACATTGATATAATCTATTCAATGTAAAATAAATTACTAATAAACAATTCATAATGCTATTATTTGAATATCTATCGCATGCTCTGTCGTTCTCCAGGTCATGCTTGCCGAGCGTAAAGGCTCAGACGAGCTGTACGCAGTGAAGATCTTGAAGAAGGACGTGGTCATTCAGGATGATGATGTGGAATGCACTATGGTGGAGAAGAGAGTTCTTGCTCTCTCTGGCAAACCGCCCTTCCTCACCCATCTCCACTCCTGCTTTCAGACCATGGTAAACATCTCACACACAGAACAGATTCACATACACATGACAAACACTATGATCTCCTACTCAGTTGTGTTGTTGTTGTTTGTAGGACCGCCTTTACTTTGTGATGGAGTATATCAATGGTGGAGATTTGATGTATCAGATACAACAAGTGGGAAAATTTAAGGAACCCCATGCTGTGTATGTATTTACTCCCAAACACACAAAAAATAATGTCAAAATGAATGAGATAATTATTCATTTAAAGGTGGGGTATGTGATTATTCTTTTTTGACCATTTTTTTCCAAAATCACTTGAAATCCTATTCCTAACCCACTTACAGCCATTGAGTTAGAAGCACTGAAATGAAAATTAAGCAATTTAATCATCTGGGGAACGGGCAAAAACTCCAGCCAATCATTTCCAAGACCACCTAGAATCATTGCATAGTAAGTGCGTCAATCAAATGCTTGTACCATACCGCCCATCCCCCATACTGAAAGCTTGTGACCCAGTCACAGTAAGTGCAAGTCGCCCCAGTACAGAGAGAGAGAAAGTGCAAGTTGCTTTCGATTGCGCGTCCATGTTCTTCGAATGGGTGGAGTCAGGGCCAGCATAGGAGGAACGAAGGTAGGATCTTTTGATTTGTGTATTTCCAAAATCTGCCGGCCGTTTTGCAAATCCCATACCCTACCTTTAATTATTTATTGAAAGTTGTATTTAAGACTGCTATATAGTTAAGACTTTAATGGTTGCTGACAATTCAGCTTTGCCATCACAGGAATAAATTACATTTTAAAATATATTATAATTGAAAAAGTTTTTTTAATGACAATAATGCTTCACAATGTTATTATTTTAAATGCAAATAAACTCACATAAAAAATCACACCAACCCTAAACCTTTAGTATAGTGTGTGTTTTAAAATTAAGAAAAAAATATATATAGTGAAATAGTTTATAATTTATAATTATAAATTTATAATATTTTAAATTTTATAATATTTAAAAGTATTTAAAGTTTAAAATATTACTGATGTCGCCATTCTGTAAAAGCAATCATTTTAGTTTGTGGTGTGTCTAATTTTGAATATGAGTGTTTATGCTAACCAACAAAACTACTTTTTTTAGATGTATTCCTACATCAGATCAGTATTTTAACTGGTTTTAATTCCATTTTTTGTTTATCATCAGGTTCTATGCTGCAGAGATTGCCATCGGCTTGTTCTTTCTTCATTCTAAGGGCATTATTTACAGGTGACATGTTTGTTTTTTTGTTTGTGATTGCACTCTGAATGCATGTGGGTTTGACATGGGGGGGGGGATTTTGAACAGTGGAAGTAAGCATAAAAGTTAATTGCAATGTGTTATTTTTTATTATTTTTGTCACTTTTTTCAATTAATTTATGAATAGAACTAAAATAATGTAATCAAATTGTTGTGATAGCAAATAATTGCTAATATATATGTGTATATGTATATGTGAACTTTTGTGCCCTGGGTTTGTGTAGAGATCTGAAGCTGGATAATGTGATGTTGGATGCTGAAGGCCACATTAAGATAGCTGATTTTGGCATGTGCAAAGAGAACATGTTTGATGGGGCCACAACCAAAACCTTCTGTGGCACTCCAGACTACATTGCCCCAGAGGTGTGTATGAATATATGAGTGTATTGTGTGAATTGCAGCGAGTGTACACCAGGCATATAAATGCTCTTCTGTGTAACAGATCATAGCATATCAACCGTATGGGAAGTCTGTTGACTGGTGGGCTTATGGAGTTCTCCTGTATGAAATGCTGGCGGGACAGGTAAACTAATGCTACTTTGATTCTGGGTCTAAATTTCAATCGGATGAGCCATTTTGGATACAGTGATGCCAATGTTTTTCCACCCCTATAGCCCCCTTTTGATGGTGAGGATGAAGATGAGCTATTCCAGTCCATCATGGAGCATCATGTATCTTACCCGAAATCCATGTCAAAAGAAGCAGTGGCCATATGCAAGGGGGTAGGCGTCACACACAAGCACACGCTAAAAACATTTTGTTTTATGTTCGGATACACTAACAGACATTCTGACATGTTTGTAGCTGATGACCAAGCACCCAGGGAAGCGTCTGGGTTGTGGACCGGAGGGAGAACGAGACATTAAGGAACACGCTTTCTTTCGCTACATGGACTGGGAAAAGCTGCAAAATAAAGAAGTTCAACCCCCCTTCAAACCCAAAGCAGTAAGTGATAATGCAGCTGTGCATCTGTGTGTTTGGTTACATTTTATTTCGATAGTCCACTTTAGACTTTCTACTAACTTTTCCATTTTTAGTTGACTGCCGGGACACACCAAGTACATGGGGAAACGTTACTTAGTTTTTCTCTGTAGTCAGACGCCTTACGGGTTTTTTTGGGCTGATTCAGCATATTGAATCACCATTGGGCCATCAATGAGAAAGAGCGAACTCTGATTGGCTGTTCAGAGTCAGTTCACAAGAATAAAAGCGAAATTGATGAAAGCGAGCTTAGTTAGCTGACAGAATGCTTATTATTTTACGTCATCTTGCATGAGCTTTCGAATGCACAAATATTTGTATTAATAACATGAGCCTTCTGGACTGAAGGAAGTGATCAACATGATTGATATTCAAAATTGTAAGCAAGTGCTGATTTGTTTACGCTTTGTATGTTTGCAGTCCTAGTTTTGGTTTCCCTTTTTGAATGACGAAAATAGACTATTGATCCCTGCTGATACAGACAGATATTTACTTACAGAGTTGACAGTTGCCTTTTGTACTTTTGGTGTGTTCAAAGCACAGCTTTTTGGCCGAGAGGCGTCAACACAGTCGGCTCACTAGTCGTCTCCGCTAGTTCTTTGACGTCGGCTAGGTGTGTCCCAGGCTTAACACTGTATTTTGATGGCCCCGCAAAAGACATTCTACTGACTATAAGTAGCTTTGTAGGTACATGTCAACTTATTCTACTAACCCTAACCTAAAAGTCTAATGAGAGTTAGTTGATATGTAGTTGCAAAGTTACTTAAAACTTTGTTTATATCAGGAGGGTGCACTGCAGCACGTGGTAGTAAAAGTACAATGGCATCCTTTTTACACTTCACTATCTCCTAGTATACTGTATTTTAGCATATCTCTGTTATTTAAGTGCCTAATTTTCAGAGAAGTGCATCGTGGCCAAGATGATGTGGTTCTAACTGTCTCAGTACAGGAAGTGAAGTGTCACAGTTCATGCTCTGCTGTTAAACCGCAAAGATTATGTGAACACTAATATGTGAAGGTTTGCTTTCAGATTCAGATGCACGAATCTTGTAGAAAACAATAATTGAGCATTTTAAGACTTTAAGCATTTTGACTGTGCAGATTTTATGGGTTTTCAGTGTTTTTTTAGTGTGGTCTGAGAGTGGATGTGGAAATACAGTGACCCCAAAACATATTTGGACACCCAAACCACATGAAAATGTATGAATGGCATTTATTTTAAGGAAGTATAGCATACTTATGAAGAACATTTCATAAAAGAATAAGTTATTAATGATAAAACAACAATTTGGCTGAACAATGTGGAAGCGATTAATGGTTATCCATTGCTAAGCACAAACATGCCATCGCCACCTATGAAAGCATATAAAATGTGTAAGAAAGATACAGTTGACGAATTGAAACTTGTTATTCGAAATGATAACAATATAGTCACACTTGTATAACAATACAGTCTCGTTCACTTGCACACAAACACAATATGGACCAAAAGTGTATGTTAAAGCCATTGTCTTATGAGTCACACACACTACTGTTCGGTAAGATTTTTTTTAATGCTTTTGAAAGAAATGTCTTATGCTCACCAAGGCAGCATTTATTTGCTTAAAAATAATTTTAAATAACTGTTTTCAATTTGAATATATTTTAAAATATAATTTATTCCTGTGATGACAAAGCTGCAAGTCTTCAGTGTCACATGATCCTTCAGAAATCATTCTAATATGCTGATTTGCTGCTCAAGAAACATTTATTATTATGATTAAAATAGTTGTGCTGCTTCATATTTTTTTTGGAAGCTGGGAGGCAATTTTTTTTTCAGGATTATTTGATGAATAGAAAATTTAATAGAATTTGAAATAGAAAATGAATAGAATTTATTTAAAATGCAAAATTCTTTACTGTCACTTACATGTATCCTTGTTGTATATGATGGTATTTATTTTATTGATGGTAAAAAATCATACTGACCCAATTTTTTTTGTATGTTGTTTATATGCAATTTTATATTTTAAATGAAGTTTAGTTCTAATAATTAGTGACAATAATGGCAAAAGTAATTGCATTTATGCTCTAGTATGCCTTAATTTCTGTGTAAAAATTTTCAGATTTATGTCGGATTTATTTTTTTATTTTTTTTGACGCATGAAGAAAATATATTTAGTTTTTTCCCATTCATTTCAATGTGGGGTCATATTGACCCCGAAGACCAGAATTGTAAACATTTTTTTTTTTTGACATACCTTCAGCACAACCGAATCAAGCCCAGTTTTTTGTGTGTATAGATAGATAATGTATGAAAAGTCACAAAATCTTATTCCACTGAGATGACGGGAACCTTTTTTTTTTTATTAAGTAAAAGTCGATTGGGGTCGTATAGACCCCATGACCCAATTGAGGGCTATGAGAGGCTAATGAGATTTTTCAGATCATTACTAAACACCTGCACTTATTTGTTACCAAATGCTTTTAATAGTTTTATTTTATTATTTGATTAATTTTCACTTCTTTGTGATGAGTTTTTGTGTATAGATGATCATATTACAGTGCTGCCAGAGTCAGGTTAATGTTAGATAATGAGTGTGTGTCAAATAATGCATTGGACTGTGGGCTGATTGGCCAGTTTAACTGACTGTCCCAGTTCAGAATAAACTTTTCAATTAGGGCTGTCAAACGATTAATCGTGATTAATTGCATCCAAAATAAAAGTTGGGTGCACTGTGTATAATTATTTCATATATATAAATACACACACATGCTTATGTGTGTTTATTTATTAAAATATTTTCATGTAAATACTGTATATAGATTTATATATAATTTATATTATATATAAATATAAATATTTTATATATAAATAATATGTTTTTCTTAAATATACATGCATGTGTGTGTATTTTATATATATATAATATATATATAGACAAAATAATTATACACAGTGCACCCACATATATTATGTAAACACAAACTTTTATTTTGGATGCGATTAATTGTTTGACAGCCCTAATTTAAATATTTTATTAAAATGATTTCATCCATTCACAGGTAAGTGATTTGGATACAGATACCGTATTATTTTCTCACTATCACCTCTTCACTCACTTCTTTTGAAATACTTGGAATTGTCTAATTCCACGGATCACATTTTTCTGAATGCTGCACCTTCATCAGCTGAAAACCAAATGCTGCTTTAACATGTGCTGACTTACATTCTGCAACTGTAAAATAATTTGCAGCATCAGAAATATGTTTCCACCACAGAAAATGATGTGCATGAAATGTTTTGCAGGAAGGTGATTGTAATCCTTTGACAACATAATGTACTTTAGTTATGCAATACAGATATGTGCTCATCATTTTCTATTATTACACATTCCCTCAATTAAGACTGTTAGAACAGAAGTAGCGTTGTTTTTATTATTACCACACTTTTGGATTGATTTTTTTTTTTTCCCATTTCTTTTTTTTTACACATTTGAGGCTTCCATTTGTCATGAATTCCTCGTTTGGTTGCTCATGCCGTATCATCATTTTCCCATCCCATATCTCTCTTCTCTCGTCTTCTCCACAGTGCGGTCGAGACGCAGAGAACTTTGATCGTTTTTTCACCCGCCATCCTCCCGTCCTGACCCCTCCTGACCAAGAAGTGATTCAAAACCTGGACCAAGAAGAATTTCAGGGCTTCTCGTACATTAATCCAAGTTTTGCATCTGTGAAATCCAAGTAGCCAGTTTAAGCCAAGCACAATATAGGGACCAATGAGAATACAGATCTTGAAATTACATAGTTTGAATGAGCCAATGAGAGAGTTCAACCAGATTGATGGAGGAATGGAGGTAATTTCAATCTATATTTGTTATTATTTCTTGTTTGAATCAAAGGATCAGGTGAGAGACTGACTAACTTTGTAAATCAACTTATAATGAGTGAGTGTGTGCGAGATTTTGACTATTTGATGCTTGTATATCATGGACTGTAGTGTTACGGGTCTCAAAAAACGAAAAAATATCTGGGTGAATCCAGTGTCCCATTTCATCGGTTTGATTTTCCCAAAAATCATATTTTGCAAAAAGAAAAGAGCACAATGATTTTTTTTGTTGTTGTTGTTGCATTGTGACATAATTGTCATGACAATTTAATGAATCAAACAAATAACATGCTTAATTGTGATGAGAACGTCACAATGCAAAAAAAAAAAAAAAAAATCGTTTTAAAATTAGGTTTAATTTTATTCTTACAGAGCCCTACACATAACATGCGGGGAGAAAAAATATGCACATCATGGGCACAAATTAAGAGTTCGTTCCCACGACTAGCATGTTTTAATCATTTGTTCCCTCTTTTTAAGTATATCATGCACACAATTTCATTTGTTCCTTTAATTTGACCGATTGTGGCCATGTTGTAATAAGTAATTTCCTTGTTTTATTTAAATCCATTAGTGGCATGATTTACTGAAACGAGGGAACGAATTCTTCATTTGTGACCACAAAATATACACTCAAAAAATGATGTTGGCTATAATTAACTTTATTTATGTCAACAGGTTCCACATAACTGGGTTACGTTAAACGAACATAATTTGTTCATGTAACTTCAACATCATGGAATTAAGTACTTTTAAGCGATGAACACTGAAGCAGTGTTAAGTTAATGAGATAATTAAGTGAATAATTGAGGCATGATTGATCATTATTGAAGACACCTGATGGTAACAAACAGAATCACTGAAGGAGAAAACCGGAATTTCAAGTCACCATTATGGTGATCATTGTGTGTGTTTAGTTGGGCTGTTAATCAACTTTAACACTGCTTCAGTGTTCATTTAACACTCTGCTCACAGCTTAATTGGGTCGCTTAAAATGACTTCAACATCCATGATGTTGAAGCTACATGAACAAATTACGTATGTGGAACCTGTTGACATAAAAAAGTGAATTTATGGAACCTGTTAACATAAAAAAGTTAACTAAAGCCAACATATAATTTTTTTTGAGTGTATTTTGTCCGCATATCATGTCCGGGTGCTCCGTATATTTGAATTGTCTCTTCTTTTTTTTCCAGTTTGGAGTGAAATGTGACCTGGACATGTCCCCGACAGGTTTTATGAGACTCATTGATTGCCTCTGATGTAACATATCTTTAGAATTTTAACTATAGCTGCCAAATCTATCTGTCTCCCCATAACACACACACACACTTAACCATGCGCCTCATTATGAACCATTTACCACTTATTGATCAGGATGTTTACTGGGTCACCCCATTTTAGTGCTTTTTTCGGTTGGGTGTTGTACGTGTGTTTTTGTGAATCTGTGCCAAGTCAGAGCTAAAAGTTTAGGAGCTGGTCATGCAACGTGTAGTTTTCCAACCAGTGCTGCTTGGATACTCATAACCACATCCTTAAACCAACTGGAAATGATAGTGATGTAACTACAACTTAATTCCAGACATGATGATGATGATGTTGTAACTACTTACAAGAACATATCTTTTTATGTCATCATTCTGCCAAATTTTTTGATGTATGACCTTATTTTTTGACTTGTTACCTGTGCCTGGCAGTGTTTGGATCAAATTACTGTGAAACTGTGGACAGACTGTTTCTATAGAGGAAAATATATGAATATGTATTTGGAATATATTAATGATCTCTGTATGTCTGTATATTTTCCTCCTCTGTGTTTATTCTTGCACACACAAACAGTGCCGAAAACAAAGTATCTGGATAATGACATTTTAGATATGTACGTTCCAATATAGACCATAATATGTACCATAAGTTTTAGATGAATATGAATACAGCTGGTGAATATATGTCTGCTTAAGAGATGTCTTTAATATTTCTCAATGTTTCCGAGTCTGCAGGATTTATGTTTTTGAAAGAAGTCTCTTGTTCTCACCAACACTCTCAGAAAAAAAGGTACAAAAGCTGTCACTGGGGCTGTACCTTTTCAAAAGGTACACTTTTGTACCCAAAGGCTGCATATTGGTACATATTAGCACCTAAAATGTACATATTAACACCTAAAACGTACATATTAGGACCTAAAATGGACATATTAGCACCTAAAATGGACATATTAGCACCTAAAATGGACATATTTACACCTAAAATGTATTTATTAGAACATAAAATGTACATATTAACGCCTAAAATGTACATATTAGCACCTAAAATGTACTTATTAGCACCTAAAATGTACATATTAACACTTAAAATGTAATATTAGCACCTAAAATGGACAAAAGTTTGCCTTTTGAAAAGGTACAGCCCCAGTGACCGCTTTTGTACCATTTTTTCTGAGAGTGAAGGATGCATTTATTTGAGCAAAAATATAAAACAAACAACAACAAAATATTGTAAAATATAATGGAAAGCTGATATGATCCATCAGAAATCATTCTAATATGCTGATTTCTTATTTTGGGGATTCTTAGAATGGATTAATAGAAAACGTTTATTTGAAATATAATTATTTTATCTTTATTTGGTACTTTGATCAATGTAATGCATCCTTGCTGAATAAAAGTGTTCATTTCTTTTTTAAATGACCTATTGAGTATAAAAAACAAAAACAAATTCCAGCTACATACAGTATACCATATCCTTGAGCCGGATAAACCAGCAGAGAAAAGGAGGATTATTCACATAAAATGTGATAAATAGTGATAAATGTTCGTAGTTAATAATTCTCCACAATGCGGGTACACTTTCACTAATTGGCCAGGGTACATGCTTAAGAACTGTAACCAATTGCACACCTGTAAAATAACCCTCAGCGAACAGCAGATCTATACGAGAACAAAAGGAGTGTTTTATATAAATTGTGCATTTGGACTTCTGGTTCTCACGAGAACATGATGGCGCAGTTATTGAGTAGATACAGGGACCAGACTCTCAAGAAGTACTTCTCTCCAAGGGCCCTTATTCTTGAGCTGGTTTGGGCCTCTAGCAGAAGGTAGGACCTTGTTGATTGTCCCGTCTTGACTGAAAGGGCATTTGGTGTCTTTGTTCCTGGTTTATGTGTTTAGCTGAACTTCCTTGAGCTGTTTGTCTGCAGTTGGTGGCTGGACTTGATGTCCAAACGTTCATCTCATTCTCATGAGTGTGTTTTAGATGTTAATGGTCCAGTCTGCTCTCTTCTGTTCTGTCCATTTGTGTGTTTTAATTCTGTCTATTCCAGACTGACTCTCAAAGTTGTGTTTTTGTCTTGAGTTTTTGATTCTGATGTAACCAGCTGTGGGTTCCTCTTCATCAGTTTCCTCCTCTTGGTCTTTTTTTTTTTTTTTTTTTTTTTTTTTGCTGTTTCTGACTTCTACACTGACGATTCTCTGTGTTGTCTTACAGATATGCACTCATAATGATAGTCGTTAGCTTTTATGTAGAAGTCTACATAAAACCTAAATGGTCCCTATTTGATTTATTTATACACGTTCTTGGTGCTACAAGTGCCACCATTTTACTTTTCTGCTGATGTCACCAAGGCCTTGTGGGCTATTGGATAATGTTAACCAATTAGTATTTTCATGATCAAGTTTTTCTTGTTGAATATCCTGTTTCAGTCAGAAACGCACTGCATTGTGGAAGTTTAAAAAAAAGTTTTAAGATGTCTGTTTCTTTTTTTTTTGTAAATATCAGACAGTAGATACAGTAAAACAAATATTTTTTACAAAATCTATTAATGTTATTAACTTACCAATATACATCATTCTTTGTTCTTTCTCAAAACAGGGATTAATTCATGTTAATTTATGCAACTTCAAACTTTTGGGGTCTGTAAGATTTTTAAAAAAAAATAGATAATACATTTATTCAGCAAGGATGTATTAAATTGATCAGTGACAGTAAAATATTTAAATGAATGATATTTATAAGTTTCCACAAAATATTAAGCAGCTCAACTATTTTTAACGTTCATAATAATAAGGAATGTTTCTGGAGCAGCAAATCATCATATTAGAATGATTTCTGAAGGATCATGTGACACTGAAGACGGGAGTAATGATGCTGAAAATTCATAACAGGAATAAATTCCATTTTGATATATTATATTATAATATATATATACACCATGAGCCAGAGGCTTCTTTCAAAAACATTTAAAAAAGAAAATCTTACTGACCCAAAACGTTTGCACGGTAGTTCCTAAACATGATAAACGTTACGATCAGTTTCATGGTCACATTCATAACTCTCCTTCTCTCTATTTCTTCCAGAAAAATCGACGTGACACTGGGAATTTCGACAAGGAGTTCACCAAGATGGTGGTTGAGCTGACACCAACCGATAAACTCTTCATTATGAATCTGGACCAAAATGAATTCCAAGGTTTCTCCTACACCAACCCCGAGTTTGTTATTCAGGTTTAACATTAAACTAAAATCGATCGCTCCTTTAGTGAGAGAAGGAGACACTCGTATTACCCAGAATGCATCATTTTGTCCCAGTGCATCTCGATTGTCCTCTCTCTTCACTTAAAACGGCACAAAACCAGCAGGATCAAACAGAACCAAACCAGGATTATACTCAGTTTTTCAACCAAGGCCTCGGAAACTCTTGAAATTGAATTTGACAGAGGAGAGAGAACGGTTATAAAAGAGTGTATTCATAGTCTCCATGAGAATGTCTTGTCTTTTCATCTCCAAGAGAATTATCCTACCTCTTTCTTTTATACATTCTCTCCATGTATTCAGCCAGTCCCTTGTTTCCAGATGAATTAGCCTGACAACATGCAGCACTAATGGACCTGTTTCTCCAGAGCTAATTAAGCCTTACGCAACCTTGAACCTTTCAAGTTCAAATCTGGATTCAATGATATCAATTCAAAGCAAAGTACCCGTGCGTCTGTAAATGAAAGATGAGCAAATATAGCTAGATGTTTGTTTAAATGGTTGATATCTTTCAGCTTGCTCTGAGATTCTCAGCATTAGCATATCATCAGAAGCACAACAGTCAAATAATGATATCCTAATGGCCTTTAGTTTGCTACTGGCATAATGGCTTCTGTTCATGAGATGCTCTTAAAAATTAATTATTTGTGTATGTCATGATAGCTGGAGAGAACATAGGCCATCAGGCTTCATTTATAATTTACATGCAACTCAAAAGCATGCTTTGAAAGTCAACATTTTTATGTTAAAACAGATCACTTTAGTTTAGAGGACAACATTTTATATATCATAAGGTATATTTGAAATAAATTAATAATCTGATATTAAAACCAAATCTTAAAGGTGTAGAAAGAGATTTCCCAAGAAACATTGATATTTGAAATCTGTGCTCCTGTCATGACGAGATTTGATTAAAAGTCAATATTATGATATAAATAGTTCAAATTTGAACACTAAGCCATTATAACATAAAAGTCAAACAATAAGAAAAAGTCTAAATTAGCACATAAAAAGCCGAATTTGTTCATATATTTGATATTTTGTTATAATTTTTGGAGTTTTTGTCATTTGACTTTTAATGCCATGATTTATTTTATTCTTAGAATATTTTTTTAATCATAATTATGATTTTTTCTAATGTCAGCTGTGACTGTGTCATGATTTTGACTTTTTAAATCATAATTATGACTTAATATGTCATAATTTGAACATTTAAAGCCCGAATTATTAAAGCATTATTTATTTATTTTTTCCTATTTTGTGGCGGAATTAGATTTTCTTTTATTGAGAAGTTTACATATTTGAAATCTGTGCTCCTGTTATGACATACTTATGAGATTAAGTCATATTTATTATTAGATTAAAAGTCAATATTATGTTATAAATAGTTGAAATTTGAACAGTAGGCCATTATGACATAAAAGTCCAACAATAAAAAAAAGTCAAAATTATCACATAAAAAGACAAATTTGTTCATATATATGATTTTTTTGTCCTAATTTTTGGAGTTTTTGTCATATGATTTTTAATGCCATATTTTTTTTTTATCATAATTATGCTTTTTTAATGTCAGCTATGACTGTGTCATGAGTTTGACTTTTTAACTCATAATTATGACTTAAATATGTCATAATTTAAACATTATGATTTACCAAAGCATTATTGTTTTTATTTTGTTTTTTCCTCTTTTGTGGCAGAATTCGATTTTCTTTTATTGAGAAGTTTACATAATTACCATTTTAGGGTAAAAAAACAGAGAGTTTGAGAATGAAACTTTCTGAAACCCAGACACAAAACAACATAAAAAAGCAGTGACTGTAGCATTAAGTAATATGAAACAAATAGATGAAAATAAGCTTGCCGATAATGAGACATCTTTGAGGGCATATGTGATATTACAGACTTCTGATTTGCAAAATGATGAGAATTACAAAAAAGTGCGCCCTGATGTACTGGTAAATGTCATTATTGCGTTTAAAGTATTAAGTTTCACCGTTCCTCTTCAATTGACTTGCTAACAGATGCATGAATTGGCATCAGAGGTTGGTCCATGCATATCACTGGCTGCTGAATGTGATTCTTGAGCTGAAAAACTCCAACTAGCAGTCTCGACTGAAACCCTAATGTGCCATATATTTGGTTGGGAAGTCTGCAGTGTTTATGGAGCTCATTATGTGCCATGTGTCTGTGTTAAACAGACTCCATAAGGAGTTTTAGTCTACCCTATGCATGCCTGGTAGAGCCCTTGCTCTTTAACTCGTGTTTACTTATTAACCAAGTGTGTCAGTAATGGTTGGATCTGTTGTAGCATAGATCCTTATAAGGGTGATGGTGTTTAAACATTTCTATTTGTTCATGTTTCATTTTGTAATTAGATATATGAAATAGAAATATATAAGTATTCTAGTCTTCCAAATGAAAACACATCGTGTGATCATGTAAACAGTGATAAGTATAATCTGCTTTTCCCGAGGTGATGGATGGAAAAGTGAGGATCATGTAAAGATAATATTTATTGTATAGTGTAAATGGAAGGACAGAAGCTTATGAAGGAACTAAAGATGTGAAAGCCAGAACAAGGATAGAAAAGCTGTTATCTTAACTGGATGTTTTATGAGAACGTGCAGATTAAATAAGTGATTATACAAACTGACAGCCTTATTACCGTTCCTGTCCTGAACTATTAAATCGCTTTGGCATGTGTACAACTGTAAATTAATAATGTGGCCTTTACGTGATCAAAGTAATTGTCACACCTTTGAGGAAAAAAAGAAAAAAACGTGCACATTTTAGCATTGTAAACCCCTTGCCCTGGTTTATTTTTGAGTTTTTCTATCATGTTTTAATGATGAAAACTTTAAAGGGCTTCCTGTACAAGAATCAATCACCCAAAATGAGTTTTTATACTATGCAAGACAGATGCATGTCAACGATGACACACACATTAACATCCAGACAGCAGCAGTGGGTGGCTTTGGGGGAGGGCTATCGCTGGTGAATGAGATATATTTTGCATGTTATTTATTTATGCTATGTGGATTATTAAAGCTGAAGTTTTCAAATGCCACTCTGTGTGTTCAAAACTTGCAAAATTGTGTTTTGATGATGGGTTACGAGTTCTTTTAATCCTACTTTTAATCCTATTTTATTTAAAACAGTTAACCAAATGTCCCGACACAAGTATAGTAATACTAGTAAATTTTGATATTGCGGGGACATTTATTTTTGGTCCCTATGAGGAAACAAATGTATAAATCATACAGAATTATATTTTTTGAAAATCTAAAAATGCTAAAAGTTTTGTGTGTTAGTGGATAGAAAACACAGTTTGTACAGCATAAAAACCATTGCGTCTATGAATGTCCCCATAAAACACAGCAGAAAACCATGTGTGTGTGTGTGTGTGTGTGTGTGCACACCATGATACTGAAAAACTGGGACAATTAGCCTATTATTGATATTATTTTTTAAATACAGAGTTAAATGTTATAATTATCTTTTTTTTTTTAAATATAGTTCCCATGGTTTTAAAGGGATAGTTCACTTTGAAATCAATTTTTGATATGTTTTAGCTTACCTCAAGGCCATCCAAGATGTAGGTGTCTTTGTTTCCACAGTATTTTCAATTTTGACATTTTTCGGTCAAACCGTTGTTGTCTCACTACTGACTGTCAGTCATATAATGCAGGTTTTGGAGGTCCACCTCAAAGAGCATGCACAGAGAAGTCCAAATTAAACATGATTTAATGACTTGTGAATGTAAGTAGGCCTACACATTGATGGCCTAAGACACAAAACGAGCGGTTTGTGTGAGAAAACAAACAGTATTTATATTTTTACCTCTTGTTAACAGCCGTCTGAATCAGATGTCCAACTGAACCGAACTCAACCGTATCCAACGTTACGCCGGAACGTTCTACCTCACGCAAACACGGAGATTTCGGAAGTTTTACCTTTCACAAATCTAGGCTAGTGAAAGGTAAAACTTCCGAAATCTCAGTTTTGACCGAACACCGGTTTGACCAAAAAATGTCAAAATTGAAAATACTGTGGAAACAAAGACACCTCTTGGATGCCCTTGAATTTAAGCTAAAACATACAAATAATTAATTTCAAAGTGAACTATCCCTTTATTGTAGTAAGTCATCATTGGGAAAAAAACAAATAGTTTCCTGAGAATAAAAGTATTATATAAAGCAGTGACTGTAGATTATGAAACATACAGTCAGACTTAACATTATCGTTCGTTACATTCAACATGAGTCATCATGACCATTAGAACTTTTACATAAGCAGAATAGCCTATAGGCTAGCAACTTAATAATGTAGGCCTCATACCTGTTTAAAAAAAAAAAAAAATCATATCATAGCAGTCCATCTATTATTATTGTTTTTTTTCAAAAGTTTTATATGATTTCATTGACTATTTTATACGATTTAATATATATATATATATATATATATATATATATATATATATATATATATATATATATATATATAAAGATACATATAAAGATTTAGGCCTATATAACATTTTTGTTTTGAAAAAAATTAAACAAGGTTTTTTTTAATAAAAAAAAATATAGGCCTATATAAATAAAATAAATAATGTTTTTTTAACACTAATTCAATTTAAAGTGGTCTAAAAAAATAAAATAAACATCAATTAAATCGTGTTGCTATTAACTAAAATCGTGTTGCTATTAACGTGTCGCCTCTTATAGGCAATTAAACGTCCCACCTCATTTTTACAGTTTTAAAATGATGTTAAACTAATTTGTTAGCAAGTGCATGTTCTTCTTTAAATTGTACAGATGCTCTTTTACATTGCGTAACTTTGCACTATCGGGCACAAAGTAAGAGGCGGTGCTTTACATTCACATTCACAAGCACGAGCAGAGACCGACCAGAAACCAGAAACTGCACCGAGACCACCTCAGCATGTTTCACGGGAATGCGCACAGTTCAGTCATGGGCAAACTTCACTTATCTGAGGGAATACGGAGAAAATCTGACATCACCGCAATGACTTTTGAGAGAAAGTTATTCTTGGAGCTAATTTTTGATATATAAGGTAAGTTTGGAGCGTCAAAATGAGGATTTACCTACTTGAAGGATATATACCCGAATTAAATCTCTCACTTAACGTGTAAAAGCACAGAATGACGGACGCGCGCCAGAACTTCACTGATATGTGAGAGTTCATTAACACCAATGAATTTCCTTGTGGATAAGCCGGCCGTGGCCCTCACAAGTGTACACTGATGCCAGAGGAACACCTGAGTGCAGGATGAAGGTGTGTAACCGTGGAGTGCAGATGCTCCTCACCACGGCGGGGGCTTTCGCGGCCTTCAGCCTGATGACCATCGCGGTGGGCACCGACTACTGGCTGTACTCGCGTGGGGTCTGCAGAACCAAGAGCGTCAATGACAATGACACGAACCGAAAGAATGAAGAGGTCCTGACGCACTCAGGGCTCTGGAGACAGTGCTGCATGGAAGGTAACTTACATTATTTTCAAAAGTGCTTTTTGCTGCATGTTCATGTGGATGACATGATACATTTCTAAAATGTAAGTTAATATGTTGAGGTAATATTTCTAACATGATACTCATTTCCAGCTAAAACACCTTTAGTTATTGGTGCAATAAAACTGTGGTATTGGGAAAAAAACAGTATTCATCAAATGCATGAAAGGTTATGAAACCTTCAAGTAGATTTTTGTCCCAAATACAAGATTGAGGAGGGGTTTTTTTTCACCCACATTTAGAACATTGTAGAATTGGGTAAAAAAAACAATGGTGTGTGTTCAGGAGGCAAACTTAGGAAAAGTAGCCAAGTCTTGTACCGCTCAGATCAAGAGAAGTATTTTTAAAAAATAAATCAAAACTATTTTGCCCACATTTTTCCAGAATACGGTTTTAGGGTTAAAAGTGTAACCAATATTCATACTCGTACATAAAAGTATAAAAAAAATCAACTTGTTACTTTTTTCA